CTATATTCAGTAAAACGATCTTTCAAAAATGAAGGAGAAATCAAGACATTCTCAGGAAAAAGAGAAGGGTGAGGTGCCTGGGTGGCTCAGTTGGTTAAGCATCCAACTCTATATTTCAGTTCAGGTCTTAATCTCAGGGTCATGAGTTCAAGCCCTGTGCTGGGCTCCACACTGAATGTGGTGCCTATTTAAAAAAGACAGAGAGAGAATTTACCACTAGTAGATGAGACCTGTAAGAAATACTTAAGAGAGTTCTTCAGGATGAAATAAGTTACAAGACAATAATCCAAATCCACATGAAGAAACAGTATACCAGCAAAGATAATTACATATGTAAATATAAAAAAGTTTGTAACTTTTATTTCTTTCCTAATCTGATTCAAAGGACAAGTCCAAGAAGCAATAACCATAAATCTGTGCTGATAAGCATAAAAGATGTTATTTGTATAATGAAAACAACACAAGCTTTTGAGCATAGGAAGGAGAAGGAATGGAACTTATATAGGAATACAGTTTTAGTATACTACTGAAATTAAGTTGGTATTATCCTGAAGTAGATTTTTTTACAATGATGTTGATTGTAATCCCTAGGGAAACCACACAAAAAAATAAATTTTAATATAGTAAAAGAAATGACAAGGGAATTAAAATGGTACACTAAAATATATCTACTGAATGGAAAAGAAGGCAACAGAAGAGAAATTGCGGAGCAAAAAAAGACAGAGGACATAGAAAACGAAGAGTCAAGTGGCAGATGTAAGCGTTACCTTCTCAGTAATGGCATTAAATGTAAATAGATTAAACACTACAGTTGAAAGGCAGAGAACAGCAAAATGGATTTTTTTGATACAACTATAGGCTGTCTACCAGAGATACACTTTAGATTCAAAGACACAATAGGCTGAAAATTAAGACATGGAAACAAATATGCTGTTCAAATAGAGAATTCAACCATAATAACTGGAGATATTAATACCCTACTACTAATAGTGACTGCTAATGGTTAGTTTCTTTTGGGAGTGATGAAAATGTTCTAGAATTACAAAGTGATGACTGTACATTAGACAATACTGAATTGCACATTTTAAAAAGTTTGATGTTGGGGATCCCTGGGTGGCTCAGCAGTTTTGCCCCTGCCTTTGGCCCAGGGCGTGATCCTAGAGTCCCAGGATCGAGTTCTGCATCAGGCTATCTGCATGGAGCCTGCTTCTCCCTCTGCCTGTGTCTCTGCCTCTCTCTCTCTCTGTCATGAATAAATAAATAAAATCTTTTAAATAAATAAATAAATAAATAAATAAATAAATAAATAAATCGTTTGGGGTGTTTATGGTATATGAGGGAAAAAAAAAGTTCTACCCCTGTTTCCATTCCCTGCCACAAACACTCAGTTGCTGGGGTTAAGGGGGTACCCACCATTTAAGTTCTAGTACTCTTCATGCCTCATACCAGCTTCTAATAAAACCGAAAAGGCACATTCTCTCCCTATAAACAAATTTCATGGAAAATGAGCCAAGTCCTATCCATAGTAGAAGGGGCTGTGAATCACCAGGACAAAAGCAAGGAATTTGTGAATCACTCTGTATCAACATTTGCCAAAGTATGTTGTCGTGGGAAATAGATAGATTGCCAAGAAAAGAGTCCTGTGGTCAAACAAGTTTGGGGAACACCAGGTTAAATAAAGTTCATCGCTTTCCGTTATTGCTAGGATTTCCTATATTCAGTGCACTAGTGTGTACTATAAAGCTTCAAGCCTAGGGTATGGTAAGCACCTTTTCCCAAGTTTATTTGATGAAGGAACCCTTTTGTTCTTCAGAACATTTCTCAGGACTAATAATAAATAAATCCATTCATTAATTAAAAAAAAAAACTGTCCTAGATTACTCTAATGGGACTCTCAGAAAACCAGAGAGGCCCCAACTAGAAAGCTACAGAATAGTTAGGTCCCTATCACATGAGTAGGGATAGAACGTAGCCCTGCTCAAAAAGTCAAAACACTCTTGTGAGAGGATGAGGTCCCATATAAAACTGAACAGGACATAACCAAACTCTTAAAAATCTAAAGCATTTGCAGGCAGGAGCTGTGCCTTACCCATCTTTAAAACCCTAGCACAGGGATGCCTTGGTGGCTCAGTGGTTGAGTGTCAGGGTGTGTTCCCGAGGTCCTGGGATCAAGTCCCACATGGGGTTCCCCGCGGGGAGCCTGCTTCTCCCTCTGCCTGTGTCTCTGCCTCTCTCTGTCTCTCATGAATAAATAAAATCCTAAAAAAAATAAACCCCTAGCACCTGGCATGATGACATCTGGCAAACGGTTGCATTCAATATGCTTATGAAATGAATGGATGAAAAAATTTAAAAAGACTCAACTTGCAAAGGGATTAATTTGTATGTGACACATAACAACTTGTAGAACTTTCCTTCAAAAAGTGATTTAGGCTGAAAAGCAGTAGAAATATGTTTTCTACATCTCAGATGCATTCTGTCCTGGATTGTTGAGCGAACCTGTAAGGCAGCAGGCATAAAGGCAGCCAGCCTTGCCAGCCTCTCAGCTCTTGGGTCTTTGCTGGCCGGGCTCTGGGTCTGATCTAAGCTGGCTCTTTTCCTGTTCTTGTCCTCAGGCTGGGATCATTACAGACGCAAAGCTGAAGGATCTGACACCGCCCATGCCTGTGATGTTCATCAAAGCCATTCCTGCAGATAAGCAGGACCACCGCAGTGTCTATCCTTGTCCTGTGTACAAGACTTGTCAGCGGGGACCGACCTACGTGTGGACTTTCAACCTGAAGACTAAGGAGAAACCATCGAAGTGGGTGCTAGCTGGAGTTGCTTTGCTTCTCCAGACTTAGCTTTCTGCAGAACCACTGAAACAACAAGGCTGGGCTGGAGGCTGCCCAGAAGGACAAGTGGGTGAGGGGAGACACAAACATGAAGATAAGGAATCATACGTACTCACAATACTGTAGAATTCTTGCAGGGAACCTGGAGAGAAGTGCCTATAGTAAGGTGGTGCTGGAAGAGTATGGACCCAGGAACTAGGGGAGAAGCATTCCATAACACTGCACCTTTCCTAATAAAGTGACTGACTCTTCAAGTGTGTCTGGTCCCAGCTTTGAGAGTGACAGAGTCATAAACAATCCTAAGACCAAGAGAAACAAACCACAAACACTTGAGCCCTGATGCTGGTAAACTCTGTGCTCTAGCTCCCAGCTACTCCATGGATTAGCCACATCAACACCACCCCCGAGTTAGTCTGCATTTTGACAAGCTGAAAATGATATGAGGTGAAAGGATATGAATGCATGCTATCGTTTGAGAGACAGTACTCTGGATGAGGGATCACCAAACTTTTTCTGCAAAGGGCCAGACAGCAAATAGTTTAGGCTTTGCAGGGCCTGTGTCTGTTGCAGTGACTCAGCGCTGCCACTATAGCCTCAAAGTAGCCACAACACATAAATAAATGGGTGTGGCTGGGTTGCAGTAAAACGTTATTTGCAAAAACAGATGGTGGGCCATATTTTGCTGATCATGGCTCGAGGATAAGGGAAGTACACACATGATATTTATCCTTCATTAATTCACACATGCCTTCAATCAGTTAGATACAATCAATCTCCTGAGAACACAACTGTGAGCAAGGTAGGTTGCCGCCTTGTACCTGTATCATCCTTCAGATCATTTAAGAGGGATCCGTGGAGAAACCCTTCCCCTAAAGCTTTTTAACCTAACAATTTTCTAGATTTTTCTCAGTGGAACAAATTTTCCCCAGAACCCCAAAGAGTTCCACAGTTCCTGTAAAGAGCTCTTAGAGGGAGGTCTGTTTGCTAAGAAGAGTCCAGGAGGGCCCAGTACTCCTTCCAGAATCCTTAATCCCATATATCCCTTACAAACTTCCAATGCTGCCGGTCCAGGGAACACATTTGAAGAACTGCGATCTAAAACATAAAATCCCAACACTCTACTGAATACAAGATCAAATGCTAATTCCTCCATGATTTTCCTGCTTTCTGGCCTGTGGCTCCTGTACCCCCTAGCAAGGGGCTTCCTCCTCACCTCCATGCCATAAGACAGTTAACAAATTCCTCTGAAACACAGGAATTCCAACCTGACTTTTGTCTCTCATCAGCCTGTAACATACTTGCCATGGTTTGCCAACAACCTGTGGTTCCATGCCTACTTATTAATCTGTTTGCAGGGACACAGCTCTGCCCTCATGAGCCTCATCCTTCCTGGTCCTCAGAAGAGCAAAATAAGGGTGGGCAAGAAGGATGTCTGGGTGGCTCAGTCAGTCAAGCGTCTGCCTTGAGCTCCGGTCATGATTTCGGGTTCCTGGGATCGAGTCCCGCACTGGGCTCTGTGCTCAGTCTCCACCTTCTCCTGCTCATTCCCTCTCTCAAATAAATAAAATTAAAAAAAAAAAAAAGGCAGACAAGACAGAAGGAAGGTGGAAACCACTCTGAAAGCAGGACACTGTGGGGCATGTGATTTTCAAGAAAGGACAGGTGGGCAGGTTAGGTACACGTCACACCTGACACAACTGAAAGTAGGTCAATACTACTGACCGCTTCCTAATACCTACTGACAAAATGAGATAATGAAGATCATGTTAGGGACGCGTGGGTGGCTCAGTTGGTGAAGCGCCTGCCTTAGGCTCAGGTCCTATCCCGGGGGTCCTGGTCCCTCATCCGGTTCCTTGTTCAGGTGGGGAGGGAGCCTGCTTCTCCCTCTGCCCCTCCCCCCCTGCTCTCTCTCTCACACTCTCTTTCAAATAAATTAATCCCCTCACACACAAAAAAAGAAAGACACCAGGGATGACACACTTACCTGAAAGACTGCCCAGCACTAACCAAGCTCTCACACCTGGACACCAGGTTAGCAATTTCCTGACACGTGAGTACGTGATGATCAGGAAGGAGCTCAACCACCATTTAGAGTCTTCTATGGGAAAATGCACTTTGAGTTACAGTTAAAACACAGTGACGCTATAGACACAAATAAGACAGGGAGCAACTATAAGAAGTTTATTTATAAAACGAGGGACATTTGAAGTTAATTTTGCACCTGTCTGACAACACATGCAAGCTCTCTGGCCCTGTCTACTGCCCCTACTGTAACAGGAGACCTGCTCTAGGACCCCCACCCCCAAAGTGCTGACCTGAGGCCCCTCCCAAGAGCAGCAACTGTAGCTGATCCAGTTAAACACTCCCCAGACAGCACTTGTAAAACAGGAACTCCAAGTGATATGTTTTTCTCCCCAAGGGGTTCAAAACAAAAGATGAGCTGAAAGATGAAGATTGTTCTTTCTCCTGATGCAGAAGAAATTAAACCAACACAAAAGCCAACCCAGAGGCCAACATGTCCTTCCAGTTCAAAGCTGTGTTCAGGTAATTCTCTAATCCATGAAAGAGAGAGAGAGAGAGAGAGAGAGAGAGAGAGAGAGAGAGAGAGAGAGAGAGAGAGAGAGAGAGAGAGAGAGAGAGAACAGGGCTGGTCTTTAAGAGATGCAATTTCTCCAGATGGCGAAGTATTTTTAAACGGCCCAGGGCCAGAACTGGGCTATGGGAGCCTGCCTACGGAAAGGGCTTCTTTCCTAAATGGGATCTTTGATGTTTATCAAGGCTCGAGCTCCAGCTGAAACTCTTCCCGCAGCGGGAACACTTATACGGTTTCTCTCCTGTGTGAACTCTCTGATGCCGATTAAAGTTTGATCTCTGAATAAAACTCTTCTCACAGATGGGACATTTATAGGGTTTCTCCCCCGTGTGGATCTTCTCATGATGACGCAATCCTGAGAAGTCGCTAAAGCCTTTCCCACAGTAATCACATTTACAAGGCTTCTCTCCTGTGTGGATCCTCTGATGCTTCACAAAGTCTGAACTCCGCAGAAAGGCTTTTTTGCAGGTGGGGCACTGAAAGTACGTCTCTCCGGTGTGAGTTCTTTGGTGAAAAACAAGCTGAGAATTCCTGTAAAATGTTTTCCCACACTCCCTGCAGGTGGGGAGTTTCTGGGCCATGGGGGCCCTTGGCTGCCCTTTCGGAGAGGTCTCTCTCTTCTCCTCCAGCCACAACAGGGACAGTTCTGGATGGGGATTGGCCAAATGCTGTTTCCCAGAATTCCTTCCTTGAGGCGAGAGTTGGCCCACTGGCCCCTCACCTTGAAGATTTTCCAGAGCCTCGGGGAGACTGTCCCCTTCTCCAAAGCATCTTGGTTCATCCTCACTGAGGAGGCCACTCAAGGAAGCCTGCGAAGGTGCCTCTCCTGACACTTGGCAGGAGACGTCGGAAGTTTCCTGGCCCCTACAATTTTCCAAATTCAGGTTCTCTTTGTCATTCTCCTGCCTGTCTCCTGGAAGAAGAAAGAAGATTTGAAATTGTTCAATGTGCACACTCCACCAATTGAGCCAGCCAGGCGCCCCCAGCAGTGTGCATTTGAGGCCCAAGAAAAACAAGTGTATTATATAAGGGTGTTACTTTGAAAAATGATTCATTTTTTTTTCTGCTTATACATAAAACATTAAGTATGATCACTAAAAACAATTTGGAGAGAAAAACAGAAAGAAAACCAAATCAACCTCAATCAAACCACTCAGAGGTGGCAACCACGATTATACTTCTACGGTGTCTGTTCAACCTATACATATGTATGTATGTGAATGTTTTATTTTTTCTTTACATAATTGATACCATACTGTCTACACAGTTCCACACTTGGCTTTGTGGCATTTAAATTGTAAATGGCCAGATTTATGAATTCCACATGGATTCTCCCATTTACAGGTAACGTAAAACTTAGGAAATGCATTACAATGTCACTTTACTGTGGCTTTAATGCAGAGTGAGGCTGTTGCATTGAAGTGGACCCTTGGCCTGGGTCTGAATGCAGCATCCATCCACCTGTGCCTCACTAACTCGAGTTAACAGTTAAAATGTCATTCTTCTCATAACGTAAGTTTTTGGTTATTACCACTACATGATACAAATAGTAAAGGCTTTTATTTTGGTGGCTGAATTTGTTTCCAACTTTTATAAATTACTTTCTTCCCACAGATCTAAGGTCTTCAAATTATCTGCTAGAGACCCCAGGAATCTGCTAATGAGGGAGATCTTGACTTGTTAATTCAGAGTCTTACAACACATTCCTCTCAAATGACAAAGGCACTGTTGTCTTTGGAGAAGTCTTTATAAATATCATTTTAAAGCTGAATAATGGTCCATCATGGAGATGTCGCCATAAACATACAATACTAAGCATACGATTTACTGAAGGAATTCTCCTACTGTGGAAACTGAAGTTGTGTGTTGAGTTTTTGTTACTATAGATAATGCTGCGATTTTTCTTCGTACATGTCGGCCCACATTTCTGACCACTCCAGGTTCCTTGAAGTGTTGCTACCCTGTCACCTGGCCTGAATGCTGTTTCTGAGGCTGGTGATGCTGAATGGTGAATCCATCTCCAGAAGGACCATGCCATCCCCTGGAGTGAGCACCTGGGCTGAGCGAAGCAGACTGTTCCATACTTAAGTCCTGAATATTTCTAAAATATTGGCCATTGAGAGCAGTGAAAAGAAATAGTTTTTCACTGTTAGAAAGGGGTTAATTCCTTAGTTAATAAGGGATGCATTTTTTTTTCACATTTAGGAGCTATTTTTCCTAAGACTGCTGTCCATTTTTTTTATTTGGAAAGTCATTTTTTCTTATTAACCTGCACTAACTCTATATTAAGAAAAATAATCATTTACCCAACATGTTAATAAACAATGTTTTTCACCAATTTAGGTACCTTAATTTTGCTTGGGGTTATTTATCTATAAATGTAAGTCATGGGGGCAGGTATTTTTAAAAATACTCCAGTCTATTATGATCTTTTCCTTAACAGTTTTCTTCTGTGGCTTTTTTGTATATTTTTTTATTGGAGTTCGATTTGCTAACATATAACACCCAGTGCTCATCCTGTCAAGTGCCCCTCCTCAGTGCCTGTCACCCAGTCACCCCATCCCCCCCCCCGCCGCCCACCTTCCCTTCCACCACCCCTTGTTCCTTTCCCAGAGTTAGGAGTCTCTCATGTTTTATCTCCCTCTCTGATATTTCCCTCTCATTTTCTCTCCTTTCCCCTATAGTTCCTTTCATTATTTTTTATATTCCTCATATGAATGAGACCATATAATATTTGTCCTTCTCCAATTGACTTACTTCACTCAGCATAATACCCTCCAGTTCCATCCACATTGAAGCAAATGGTGGGTATTTGTCGTTTCCATATCTGTGGCTTTTAAACTGATAAAATCTTCCCCACCCCAGATGAGGGTCAAATATTCACTCCCTTCCTTATTACGATTTTCATATTTCATATCTTTTTCATCAAATTTAAACTGATTCCTTAAGAGCACTGCTCTGTGAAGAACCCTCCTCCCATGCATGGGCCTGCGCTGCCTCTTCCTCCATCACATGCTAAACCCTCATATAGACCAGCATCTCTTCTGAGACTCCCTTTTGTGTTCCATCCGTCTGTGGGCCTATTTTTATATCAGTATCCCATCATTTTAATGACTTTGACTTTCTTTTTTTTTTTTTTAAGATTTTATTTATTTATTCATGAGACACACAGAGAAAGGCAGAGACACAGGCAGAGGGAGAAGCAGGCTCCATGCAGGGAGCCTGATGTGAGACATGATCCCGGGACTCCAGGATCACGCCCTAGGCCAAAGGCAGGCACTAAACTGCTGAGCCACCCAGGGATCCCTGACTTTGACTTTCTAAAATGACAGATTCTTTTTTTTTTAACCCAGGCTCCACGCCCAACATGGGGCTCAAACTCAGGACCCAGAGATTGGGTGGCATGTTCCACTGACTGAACCAGCTAGACTCAAGTAAGACTCTCAACATTTACAGATCTAATGCTGATGAAACATTCTTCCAAGACTCTTGTATTCTTGCAGTATTCTTCCAGACAAGTAATAATGATTCATTTCCCCCAATTTATTTTTTTTATTAATCCCTTAGACTTTTGATCAGCAGTGAGTACGTGGCTTCTTGAGGTTTATTCCCCTGCTGACCTGCTTTAACTATGAGCTAGTCTTCCATATGGCCAAACAAACAGCATACATGTGCTCTCCTGATGCTTTTGCCCCCTTGATATGAGTCCAGGTCTGGCGGGCCGGCTAACTGTTGTGTCTTTTTTTTTTTTTTAAAGATTTTATTTATTTATTCATGAGAGACAGAGAGAGAAGCAGAGACAGAGAAGCAGGCTCCATGCAGGGAGCCTGATACGGGACTCCATCCCGGGACTCGATCCCAGGACTCCAGGACCACGCTCTGGGCAGAAGGCAGGCGCCAAATGGCCAAGCCACCCAGGCATCACTAACTTGTTGTGTCTTTAAGACAGGACCAGTCCTTTCTGGTCCTGTTACTTGTTCCCCCAGGAGTCTAGGGCGCATCCCTGTACCCCTGGCTCTGGCATCAACTTTCCACAGGGTTCCTCACATACTCCCTTCCAGTCCAGCCTGGACATGCCTACTTCCCTGGCCTCTCTTCCCATATATCCTCTCTTTCAAGAACCAAGAGTAGCATTTCTTTGCTCTATGAAAGCAGGCTAGCTTTATAGACTCTCTGCAGTCTCTTTCAGGGTAAGATCTAATGGGACCATGCTGGCAGGTGGATTGAAGGAGGAGGAGGAAAAAAAAAGAATGAGTAGGGATATGTGAATTATATATCACAAATAAAATCCCACTGCAGAGGAGCATATGGGAAATCTCTGTACCTTCCACTTAATTTTCCTATGAACCTGTAACTGCTCTGGAAAAGAAAATCTAGTAAAACAAAAATCCTACTGCAACAACCACTAAAGCAGTGTTTTCAAACTTTTTTTGTCTGCCACCCACTGTAAGAAATATGTTTATACTGAAATACAGAACATACACACATATTTGGAACAAAAATTTCCTGAAATGCTACCTATCCTGACATCTGATAGTGTCTATCTGCATTCTGGCATCTTCTATTCAGTCTTATCATTGCAATTTTTTAAATGCTGGTTGCAACCTAGAAGAGGATTTCACAATACACTGGTCATGAAACACAGTTTGAAAAATATTGCTCCAAAGGAATCCTTGTGAAATAGTACAATAAACACATCAGTTAGAATTAAAAATCGTCTGTTTCATTTGATGCTTGCTGTCTCTGTAGCATATCAGCAAAGGAACATAATTAATTTGATCCCACTGGAGAGAAAGAATGACTGTCATAAAATTGTCATCCCTGGTCCTTTTCTTCTTCTAATTCTAGGATCTTTTGTCTATGGAGAAAGGTGTGTTGTGGGATGGAGTGTGCAGGTATGCATGACAGGTAGGTGTTACGTAACTGCAATGTTTTAAACAGAGTGCCGCGAACAAAGGGTGATTGCTATGTTACAACAGAACAAAGTCACACATTTCTTCCTCTAGGATCTTAAAATACAGGGTTTATAGGAAGTGTTTGTCACCGCTGCTGTCTAGTGCATGTTAGGTGCTTAGAGATTAATTAAACATGTTTTTCTTTTTTAAACAAGTTTGTTTTGTCTTAATTAATCTTCATTTCACTCCTACCAGAATAAAGAAAGAAGAAAAACACAAGAGTCAGGAAGGGCAGTAACTGCTGCCTTTTTCACATCACCTTTTTTTTGTTCAACTCATACCTGGATTGGTATCAATCTATCCTACTAACCTTAACTCGCTCTGAGAAAGCAAGCTGTCATGGCACACAAGACTGCAGGCAGCAGGTCCAAAGTGTGGTCTGTGTTCCACGATGACTTAGTACGAATCAATGGCCCCACACCAGACGTGAGGAGACTCAACCTCAGCATTCTCACTGGACCAACCAGATCATGGCCAATCACAGACAAGGGCACAGACCTCAGTTCCTAGTACATCCCCTGCCACCTCCAATTCAATGACAGGAGGTCAGAAACGGCTCAGGCCCAATGAAAGATCGCTCACCTATGAGGGTGGGTCTTGGGATCTTCTCGCTGACATGAAGGTGCAATCCTGCCAGTTCTTCCCCATACTCTGCGGAATTAGTCAGATCAGACTTGGAACTGGAAATGCCTAGCACAGAGAGAGAATAGGAAGATGAATGGGGAGAACTGGGGACCAAGCTGTGTCTTTCAAAGGTGCAACTGGACTGTGATGGGGAAATATGAAGGATCTGGAGATCCCTCAAAACACTTATGTTAAGAGGTGTCTGCCTTCCACACCACCTGGCAGGCTGGTGCAAGGCTCTTGAATGAGTCCCCCCAAAGGTTGGCTGAGACAGCGCAGGTTAGCGGCCCAGAGCATGGACTCAGTCGGCCACACTGAGTTGTCATAACTCAGCACTTACAAGCTACGTAACAGTGAGCACATGGTTTGACCTGACACTCACTTTGATCATCTCCAACACGGGAAAACCATCATATATCTTGTAGATTTAGGGAGTTACCACATGGAATGCACCCATAACAGTTCGAGGCACACGGAATCCTTCCAATACAAGGAAGCTCTCACTAAACATGCCCAATGCCCTCCCCTTCATCCAGGGAACTTCAAGTGGAGCAGCTACCTCTAGAGGGACACAGGAAGTGTTTAATGTAAATTAAACAGACAGACATCGGACAAATGCACGCCCTCACCTCCTGAGACCATTTTCCCATAGGTCTCCAGCATGAGATCCCAGTACTGCTCCTTCTGAGTGGAATCCAGGTGCCTCCACTGCTCCTAGAAAGCACACAATACCATCACTCCACTGCACGTTTGTGAGCCAGCCTTCCCCACCTAGAGGGAAGTGGAGCAAAACAGTAATGTGCCCTAGAGCCTGGTCATCAGAAGATCTAAGGAAGGGTGCCTGGGTGGCTCAGCCAGTTAAGCATCTGCATTCGGCTCGGATCATGATCTCGGGGTCCTGGGATTGAGTCCACATGGGCTCCCTGCTCAGCAGGTCATCTGCTTCTTCCTCTGTCCCTCCCTACTGGTTGTGCTCTCGCTTGCTCTCAAATAAATAAAAATCTTAAAAAAAAGACAACAATCTAAGGAATCTTGGGAGGTGGCTCACCAGAAGAGGCAAGGGGAAAGCTACAGCCTCCTCGTCACTATTTCTTGCCCTCATTAGAAAACATTTAGGTTTAAGCTCTGGATTATTTTCATTTGCGCATATTTAAGAGTGAAGGACACAGAGGCCTTTTCTACACTTTTTTTTTTTTAACTCAGTGCTTATAATAGTCCCAATATCTCATTAAAATCTGGAAATTCAAGAGAGGAAAAAAAAATTAAAAGGGAATTTGTTGGAAATGCAAATGCAAATCAGCAAAAAGGTGGGAAGAACCCACAGGGAAGCTAGCTGCATTGTCTGACACAGATCAGTGGGCTCAGAGCAGATGCTGCCCCCATACACATTTGGAAATCCCCCAACAGTTCTGAGTTTAAGGTCTAACATTAGCCCACTTTTCCTCCCACTGAATAGAAAATCAATGGGTTCTCTGGAGCAAGGGATGCCTCAATTATCCCCAAAACATGCCCTTCTTTTCCTAGGAAACTAGGAACACTGCCTAACTGGAGTCTCCTCCAGTGAATTCAAATCCCGATCTTCCTACTGAGGGGCTGACTAGACTCAGTCTGTGCAGCAGTGTAATTAATAAATAGCCCAGCCCTTGGAGTCAGACACACAGGGTTTCAGGTCCCAGCCCTGCCACTGCTACCTGTGTGATCTTAAGCAAGTTATGTAACCTTTTTGAGTCTCCATCCTCACCTGATCATAGTACAAAATTCAAAACCGAACACATAATGCAAGCGTCACTTATTTTCATAGCACGCACACATGCACAAGTATCTAAGAGCTGCCTCTACTAGCATGTGAGCTACATGAGAAAAGGACTCTCCACTGTACTTTCTCAGTCCCCAGGGCAATGCTCAAGACAGAGTAAGCACCAGATATGTTGTTTGGGGGAAATAAAGCCCTTAGCAAATAACTCCTCAGAAAGTGATATTTATTACTATTATTATCTTACAAGTGGTCTACAGGTCTCCTAGACTCCCCACCAAGGGGTTTGCAGAGGGAATTAAGTGGTTCTGTGCACTTTTAGGAACCTCAAAGTCAATAGCCATCCATTATTATTATGAATAGACAGCTATGAGGAGCAAAACTAAGAAGAGAATAAGATCCTCTTCTGACACATGGTACAATCAGGGAAACCATTCTCCATCCTAAATCAAGCCTGCCCCACTGCACATCAAAGGGAAGCAGAAAGACCTGAGAAAGAATAAAGATACCAAAAAGTCTGCAATGAGCAAATACTAAGCAAAAATTTTTAAAAGCTAGATGGCTTGGATTTTTTTTTTTTTTTTTTTTTTTTTTAGGATAAAAATGTGAAAAGCAGGGATGCCTGGGTGTCTCAATCAGTTAAGCATCCAACTGTTGATTTCAGCTCAGGCCATGATCTCAAGGTGTGAGATCAGGTCCCACATAGGGTTCTGTGCTCTGCAGGAAGTCTGGTTGAGATTCTTTGTCCCTCTTCTCCCCACCCCGCTCATGCTCTAGCTCTTTCTCTCTCGCTGTAAAGTAAGTAAAATCTTTAAAAAAAAAAAAATGTGAAAAGTGACTTAAATAGATTTCACCATATACTTAAGTATTAACTATAGCTACACTTTTAATTTGAATTTTAATTTAGAACTTTTGACTGTTAAAGAAATTCCTTGAGTTGTGAGCTTATTTTGTTAATCTATGAGTGAAGTGATTTTAACAACCTTCTGAAAATAACCAGTTTGAGCAAACACTGCTGAATACAGGATCCCTCAGTCTTTTTGATCAGACAACATGGACCGCACCGCAGAGAGTAACAGGCATGCCCAGCACAGTGACTGCTCGGCTGCCTGGCCTGCTGGACACACGGCCAGTTCTGTAGGCACCAGAATAGGAGCTCCCAAGGACGGTACAAGTCAACCAAGAGTGCAGCTACCAAAATCCCCAAGGGCCACTATCAGCTCATTCAAAACTCTGAAAAGATGCTTCTGGGGGGCTCTAAACAGCATACCTCCACATGAAGCCACCTCACTCAAGGAACTGCCTGCCAAGAAGCTAGGGATTCATGAATAAACATCTACACAAGACACAACTGCATCCATCTTGCCTTTTTCTCATTTTTATATTAAGAAAGGGGGAAAAAAATCTCAGTTCCTATTCTGGAAGGACAGAAGTATAGAATTTAATGAAAAAGCAATCCGGATTTTGTGTGAAGACAGCACCACCTTGTGGGTCTGTGAAACACTGCACAACTGACTTGCCCAAGTTTGCACTGTTCCTCTCCAGGTTGAAAACACAGGAATGTGAGTAAATATGTCCCCCAATCTTGGTGAGGCTCTAACTCAGTCATGGGTTCTAACAATGAAGAAGCACTGTGTAGGGATGCTACTTCATTATTCTGGCATTATTCACGAGGCTCCTAACCTATAAAAGAGATCAGAGGACATGATTACATCTATTTCAATATCACCTTCAATTAACAAAGCATCCATTAAATATCATGGTCCTTCTGATGCAAACTGCTTTTGTTACAGTTCAGAGCAGGGATACTGGGATCAGATAGGAATGACCTTTGTTTGGATTGAGTGGCTATTAATCAGTTGTCTGTGCAATATAGGGAAACACACGCACAGTACCCAGAGCAAGTCATAGTAAATGCTATGTATAGTCAATGCTTAATTCTCCTAATTAAAACACAGTTCATAAATTGTATATGCCTTTCATATGGATACTCTGTACTTTCTACAGAAGCAACAATAAGCCTCCATGTCTGCTTGAAATATTTCACAGAATACCCAAATCCTTTGACTACAAAACTCCCTACCTAACAGTTTGGTTTCCAGGTATCTGGAAAGTAGGAAGACAGGTACCTTTGAGTCATTAAAAAGATCTGTGCCTCTCCTGGACACGCCTGTCCCTCTCCTCAGGGCAAACTGTAAAGTCGGTATCCTGGTTCCTACCCTTCTCTGCCTGGGAAGCTGAGGCTCAGACCTGGCTTGAGCATCACATCAAACACCACCTACTTACTGGCTTCCCTCCCTTTACCTTCACTCTAAAGTACCTCAGGAGGCAAGTCCCAAGAAGGCTTCCCCAAAGGTTTGAAACATGCTGTGCTCAAGGTATACAGGTTCATTCCAGAAAAACTTTATTTTTAATCAAACGCAACTTTTCAGAATTGTTAACTACATGTTCAAAATAAACCTGTTCCAAACTTGTTTACAGCAAAGATGGGAGTAACAGAGACCAGATTTACCTTCTCGCCTCAAGCAACTGAAAAATAGGACAAAATACATGACACAATGGTTTGCAGTCATCACCTGAGAGGCAGAACAGAACAGAGATCCCTCAAAGTGAGGAAACAAATGAGGTGAGCCCTGCCACTGCCCACAAACCTGCTGCCTGGAGAGAGCACCCCAAGAAGCACAAGCAGGGGAGCCAGGTGGAGTCAGGCAGCCCCTTCCCCCTTAAGCTGGCAGAAGGAGCTCAGAGTTTGGGGAGGTGAAGGCAGTTATAGTTAACAGGGCAGAAGACCAGAGTCTTCTGAACAGAGAGAGAGCTCCGGAGATCTGCAGAGGGTCCCCCACAAGTCTGAGAAAGATCCCACAAAAGAAGCAGAGGAAACAGAGCTTGCATAGTGCTAAAAACAGTTATTTTCCACCAGTCAGAGTAGAAACCCTTATACATCAAGCAGCAACAGGTAGAAGACACAAAAGGGTATTGCCTCAGTAGTGGGAGAAATTCACCCAGACTAAAGGCTTCTCTGGTGCCATAACACAAACTATGTCCAAGTAACTCAACCATATGCCAGAGCGAAGCTCAACAATATTTATAGGAATGTCAAAATACCCAGCACCCAATGAGGTAAAATTCACAAAGTCCAAGATCCAATCAAAGGCTGCTGGGCATACATAAAAAGTAGCAGGAAATCATCTCAAAATGAGATCAGTCAAACCATCAAAACTGATTCAGAAATGATACAGGTGATAGATGAGTAGACAAGGACATTAATACAGATGGTACAGCCATACCCTACATGTTCAAGAAAGTGTAGGAAAGACTGAGACAACCTCAAGAGAGCTAACATATATCTGCACGTTATCATTATATACAGCCTGTGGAGATGTTATCCTCAAAGTCCACAAAGAAGAGGAGAAGGAAGGGAGACAGAAAACTGTCGGGAGAAATACTGGCCAAAATTTCCCATATCTGTTGGAAACCATATACCCACAGATCCAAGAATCCCAAAGAATCCCAAGCAAGAAACATGAAGAAAATGACTCCAAGGTCCATCATAGTCCAACAGTTAAAAACCACTGAAAAAATGTGAAAAGCAAGAAAAATACAATACATGCAGAAGAACAAAGGTAAGAGCAGAGATGGCATGATTCTGTGTTACGTAAGATTCTGGAAAATGCAAACTAACAAATGTAAAAGAAAGCAATTTGTGGTGGCCTCAGGATCTCAAGATCGGGGAAGGAGTGAGGGACCACAAAAGGGCAAAAGGAAACCATTGGGCATAACAAGTATCTTTATCATCCTGACTGTGGCTGTGGTTTCACACGTGTGTGTCTGTGTCAGAGAGTTACCAAATTGTACACTCAAAATACGTGTAGTTTACTGTTTGTCTACTAGGCTTCCATAATGGTGGAATTAGGTGGCTGGGGGAGGCCACCTGCCCCACATTAGACAGAACCATTCAAAAGCTCAGATGGACTTCTATGGGCGAGGCCTAGACCAGGAAATGAAACAGAGCCTTTTCTCAGCATAACCCGAAGAACAGGAAAAGGAGAAACAAGAGGGCACTTCTTCCAGGACCCAGATCCATCATCTAGATGATTACTCAACATTCTGCCCCAGGGGAAATTGCGAGACTCAGGGTTCATTCTGTGGGTACTGTTCTTATCCCTGCAAGGCTGTCCTCTCTACTCTGCTTTTCTTTCTTTCTTTTTTTTTTTTTTTTTAAATTTTTTATTTATTTATGATAGTCAGAGAGAGAGAGAGAGAGAGAGACGCGCAGAGACACAGGCAGAGGGAGAAGCAGGCTCCATGCACCGGGAGCCCGACGTGGGATTCGATCCCGGGTCTCCAGGATCGCGCCCTGGGCCAAAGGCAGGCGCCAAACCGCTGCGCCACCCAGGGATCCCTCTTTTTTTTTTTTTAAAGATTTTATTTATTTATTCATGAGAGACATACAGAGAGAGAGGCAGAGACACAGGCAGAGGGAGAAGCAGGCTCCCCACAGGGAGCCTGACATGGGACTCGATCCCCAGTCTCCAGGATCAGGCCCTAGGCTGAAGGCAGCTCTAAACCGCTGAGCCACCTGGGCTGCCCTCTACTCTGCTTCTAAGGACGCACCCCTTCCACCCTCCCAACTACCAACACCCTCCAGCCCAGGTCTGGGGTGAGAGAGGCAGGGTGGGAAGTCAGCTCACCGGAGATGCTGCTTGCAGAAAGGAGGCTCCGAAGTCCTGGTCTCTGATAAGCCTTTCCTCAGGTGGGGCAGGAGGTGGGGCAGCAGCCATCGCTGAAGTGAGGAACAGAGTTTGAAGACTCTAGAAGTCATTGTAAACCATCCCCAGAGGGTACAGATGAAAATCATCACAAATGAGAACTGACCTGATGCCTGTCCCACCATCCATGATGTCAAGACTCGTATTTACCTACCTCTCTAACAAATTCCAACTCCCCCCCCAACCTTCCAAATAGTCTTGTCCGTATTTTCCTCCTCCCTTCTTTCCCCTGCCTCAGAACCAAAATTCAATTGGTCTGGCCCAGTCATAAAGGAGATTCACAGACTGAATCTCCACATCAGAGGGATTCAGTAGGCCCACCCTGTTCCCAAACTTTCCAGAGATACTGTCATTTGAGCAGTGTGTCATTTTCAACTCACTCTTAGGCCTACAAACCACAGTCCCCAAAATTCCCCGAGAGAGTACGGCACATGACAAGTAACTGGCCCTCACCTAATTCTTGTTCCACGTCACACTCCTCTTTCACAGTATGGCCTGGTGGCTCCAGAGGCCTGCAGGTTGAGTCATGAAGTCCCAGCTCTGGAGGCATCACTTCAAGATGGCGCTCCATTCCCCCCACATGGCAGCTTGCAGATTCCATCGTCTCTGATAAGATTTCCTGTCCTAGAACCTGGATGCTGATCTAGAGACCACATATGACGAATTACAGAAAGATTCAGACTGAGGAGCTCTAAAAGAAACAAAGCTAATGCTCCATAACATATAAGAAGGCAGTCCTTAGGGATATGGAGCAGGGAAATAGAAAACCAGCAGGAACCTGTGAGGAAAACATCCTAAGAGATGTAGAACGGCTGAGGCCTGAATCAGGCCTGGGAGGCCCCGAACATGCCATTAATCATGTGTTTCTACAGGATAATCTCTGTCAATTAAAATTCAAACTTCTTAAACGTGTTAGTATAAAGATGGAATGGATAAGAGACTTTATCTTCTATCTGCAATGATGAGAAAGCATTAAGTCAGAGAGTCTTAGAACTCAGTGAGCTATGTGGATATACAGATGTGGTATAATAAGAAATAGGTATTTGGTCTTTGTCCCAGGTTCCTGGAATTGCCTCAGGGACAGGAGTGACAGGACAACTTCCATTATTCATAGTGAGCCCCCTTCAACTACACCTGAGTTTAGGCTAGGAGGGGGACACTCAGTGGGCCCCAGACAGTTCAGGAGGGAGGCTGGTCATCAGAGGAACCATTCAGGTCATCAGAGGACTGAACATGCAGCCCCAACCCTCAACCTCTGAGGAAGAGAGAAGAGCTGGAGATTTTCAATCACCGATGGCCAATGGTTGATCTAGCATGCCTAAGTAATGAAACCTCCATAAAATCCCTTCAAGTATGGAGTTCGGAGAGCTTCTGAGTAGGTGACCACACAGAAGTGCTGGGAGGATGGTGTGCCCCGACATGCCATGAAAGTCCTATGCCATCCCTATGTCCTCCTTTTGACTGTTCCTAAAACATGCCCTTCATCATAAACCAGTAAGTATAAGTGGTTTTTGCTTCAAGTTCTATGAGCCATTCTAGTAAATTAACAAACCTGAGGAGGGGGTGGTGGGAACCTTCAAATGTACAGCCAGTCAGTTTTAAGCACATCTGGCCTGTGTGACTGAAATGGGAGCAGTCTTGTGTGGCTGACCCTTATCCTACTGGGTCTGCCGACCCCAGAATATCAGTGTCAGATTTGAAATGAACTTTAAGACACCTAACTGGTATTGGTAAATTGGAGAATCGACTGTTAGTGTGGAAAATCACACACACTGAGAAGTCAGAAAAAAGACAGCCCACCTGGTAAGACCCCAGAGGAGCCCTGCGCACCACTGGCAGTTATACCCTCCACTTACCCATTGCCACAGTCTCCGGGGGTCTCCCCTCAAGCTCTCCACAAGGGTCACCGCCTCCTCTCCACTGCCTGGACACTGTTTCCGCACCCACATCTGGATCTCCCCGGGCAAGATGGTCAGGAACTGCTCCAACATGAGGATCTCTAGGATCTGCTCCTTTGTGTGAACCTCTGGCTGCAGCCACTGAAAACAGAGTTTCCGAAGTTGTCGCAGGGTCTCGTGGGGCCCAGACATCACCTGGTAACGAAACTGCCTGAAGAGCTGGCGTGCAGTCTCGGGGTTAGAGAGCTCCCCTCGAGGAGTGGCATCTGGTCCAGAGAATGGGGAGTCCTCGGCCTTTGCCAGTGGCGGCAGCAGGAGCAAGGCCTGCCCCAGCTCGACAGGCATCATCCGGCTTGGCAAGTCCTTCTTGGTGAAGTGTTTCCGGGATGGAGTTGTCTCTGGGGAGGACCAAGTCTTCACTGAGGTTCTCACAGGTACATTAGAGAGGGAATGAAAGTCAGTGCTGGAGAGAGGAGAGGGACACGTTATCAGTAAGAATAAATGCACATGACCCACCTGAGAAAGATCATAAACTTGAAGCCACCATGCAAATAGCTCATACTGTATCTAAACCGGCATCCTCACGCTAATCGCTTTACAACTCTCTCTCTCTCTCTCTCTCTCTCGTTCTTCAAACACGCAACCAAGTAGAAAAATAAAATGCATCAGTGGAAGCATTTTCACTAACTGGCTTACAAGCAAATGGCTCTTCTGCACAACACTTCCTTACCTGCATATGGAAGTCTATAGACTAGAAAGTAAAGCTGAATAAAGATATCATAGCCTAGAAATAAAAGCTAACGTTGAAATAATCTGATGCTTCCATAATAAATAGGAGGTTAAAGAGAATAAATTAATTTTTCCCCAAAAGGTGCAATGAAATTTCTAGGTAACCTCTTTTGAGTGCCACATGGAAAACTGGACTATTTGGAGAGCACCTGGGTGGCTCAGTTGGTTAAGCGTCTGCCTTCAGCTCAGGTCATGATCTCAGGGTCCTGGGATTGAGTCCCGTATCTGGCTCCCTGCTCAGTGGCGAGCCTGCTTCTCCCTTTCTCTCTGTTGCTCACCCTGCTTGTGCACTCTCCCTGTTTCAAATAAATAAAATCTTTTTTAAAAAATTATACATAAAAAAAAGAAAACTGGACTATTTGGGAATTCAGGAAAAACTTGTCACAACTGAAAGTTTCAACCCTCAGTTTGAAGAAGACTTAGAACAAAGAGTGACTACCTCAGAAACATTCCTATGGCCTTGAACTAAGTGAGCACTATTTTATGGTGACTGGTATAAAAATTTAGAAGACAGTAACTAAGTGAAAAGAAATATTAAATGACAAAGTTAGTATTTAGAAATGTTTATTGTACTATCATACATGTACTATTTCTAATTAACTTTTTTTTAAAGATTTTATTTATTCATGAGAGACACAGAGAGAGAGAGAGAAGCAAAGACACAGGCAGAGGGAGAAGCAGGCTCCATGCAGGGAACCTGATGTGGGACTCCATCCCAGGACTCCAGGATCACGGCCTGAGCCGAAGGCAGGCGCTAAACCTCTGAGCCACCCAGGGATCCCCTAATTAACTTTCTTGAATATGATCCTAATAGTGGATCACTGGGTCCATCCTTGAATGTTATTAAAGAGCTACAAACAGATCATCATTTCTCCAGAACACTAACTGTAACAATAAAAACAAAATGAGGAAGCAAACACACCCGATCACTTAATCTGTCTGGCTTAATCAGAGATGGTATAACACTCCAGCTTTTAAAAGTTGCTTTTCTGAGGGCAGGGGGGAATGGGGTCACTGGGTGACAGGCATTAAGGAGGGCATGTGACATAATGAGCACTGAGTGTTATATGCAACTGATGGATCACTGACCTCTATCTCTGAAACTAGTAATATAGTATATGTTAATTAATTGAATTTAAATTTAAAAAATGAAAAAGAAAAAGAAAAGTTACTTTTTCCGGGGCACCTAGGTGGCTCAGTAGTTAAGCATCCAACTCTTGGTTTTGGCTCAGGTCACGATCTCAGGGTCATAAGATGGAGCTCTGCATCGGCCTCTGTGCTCAGTATGGAGTCAACCTGGGATTCTCTCTCCTTCTTCCTCTGCCCCTCCCCCCACTTGCTCACACATGCTCCCTCTCTCTAATAAATACATGATTAATAAACAAAAGCTGATTTTTCCTCAAGGTATAATAAGGAATGTCTTCATCCTTAGCACTTCAAACAATTTATCCTGTATCAGAAAATCATTTAAAAATTTAAAAAGGGCACCTGGATGACTCACTTGGTTAAGCATCTGCCTTCAGCTCAGGTCATGACCCTAGGGTTCTGGGATTGAGTCCCTCTTCAGGCTCCCTACTCAGCCTACTCCTCCCTGTGCCCTTCCCCCCTGCTTGTGCTCTGTCTATATATATATATAATAAATAAATAAACAAAATATTTTTTTAAAAAAAGAAGAAAACATGGGATGCCTGGGTAGCTCCGTGGTTGAGCATCTGCCTTTGGCTCAGGGTGTGACCTTGGGGTCCTGGGATCAAGTCCCATATCAGGCTCTCCACAGGGAGCCTGCTTCTCCCTCTGCCTGTGTCTCTGCCTCTCTCTCTCTCTCATTAAAAAAAAAAAAAAAAATCTTAAAAAAAAAATGTTTCAAGCAAAATGGAAAGTCTGTGTGGGGTTTCCCTGTAAGCCCAGGGCTGGACTGCACATGGGCAGGGTGAAACTATGCAAAAGCACACTTGCTACAGGGTTAAGAGCAAAAGAAATACAAAATGCTAATCAGTGATGAGAAATATTGGACTTTTTGACCATTGAGAAAGGAGACCTCACTAATACACAAAGCATCCTGAGATACCAGAAAGGCCACATGTCAGGAGTAAAGACCACACCCTAGAGTAAGACCTACTCTAAACCTGCCCTAAGAGAGCCTAAAGCCAAGCCTCAACAAGATCGACAGAGGAAACCCAGCCTATTGGTCTAGTGTGATCAAGTTAGAAGGCCTCAGGGATACACTTCGGGCTTTCTAGAGATCTGTCCTAACAAGGTATAAAACCAAGCTAATTCCAGTCAAAGATGATGTGTCAGTAACTCAATTACCTGCTAGAACAAAACTCAATACTCTTCAGAGAGGGATAACAGAATCCTTAGCATCTATGATGTGCCATCCACAATGTCCTATTGGACATTGAAAGATGTTTTTACTGGATGTGGAAATCTGGATTAATGATCCCACAACATGATATTAAACAACGAATAAGTCAATCAAGAAATCAAAGAGGAGGGACGCTTGGGTGGCTCAGCGGTTGAGCATCTGCCTTCAGCTCAGGGCATGATCCCCGTCCCAGGATCGAGTCCCACATCAGGCTCCCTGCATATGAAACCTGCTTCTCCCTCTGCCTGTGTCTCTGCCTCTCTCTGTGTGTCTCAAATAAATAAATAAATAAATAAATAAATAAATATCTTAAAAAAAATAGAAATCAGAGAGGAAATAAATACATGGAGACAAATGAAAATAATACAATGGATCCAAAACTTTGGTATGTAGAAAAGCAGTTCTTAAGAAGGAAGTTAGGGCAATACAGTCCTACTTAAAAAACAAAAATCTCAACTAAACAACCTAACCTTACCTAAAGGAGCTAGAAAAAGAACAAAACCCAAAACCAGTAGAAGAAAGGAAATAGTAAAGATTAGAGCAGAAATAAATGAAATGGAGAGACACCTGGGTGGCTCAGCAGTTGAGCATCTGCCTTCTGCTCAGGGCATGACCCAGGGGTCCTGGAATCAAGTCCCACATCAGGCTCTCTGCAGGGAGCCTGCTTCTCCCTCTGCCTGTGTCTCTGCCTCTCTGTCTGTCTCATGAATAAATAAATAAATAAATAAACGAAATCTTAAAAAAAAAACAGGAAAGAAATGAAATGGAAACTAAAAAAAACCGATAGTACAGATCAATGAAACCAGGAGTTGGTCTTTTGAAAAAAAATCAACAAAATTGATAAACCTTAGGGTGCCTGGGTGGCTCAATCAGCTACACGCCCAACTCTTGGTTTCAACTCAGGTCAAGGTCTAAAGGGCCCTGAGCTCCAGCCCTGCATTGGGCTCCATACTCCGGGGGAGTCTGCTGGAGATTCTCTCCCTCTGTCCTTCCCCAACTTGTACCCATGTGCTTTCTAAAATAAATAAATCTTTTTTAAAAAATGATAAACCTTTAACCAGATTCATTAAAAAGAGACAGAGAGGCAACTCAAACAAACAAAATCAGAAATGAAAGAAGAAAAGTAACAACTCAAATCACAGAAACACAAAAGATTACAAAAGAATATTATGAACAATAATATACCAACAAACTAGACAACCTAGGGGGAAAAAATGGATAAATTCCTAGAAACATACAACCTTTCAAAGCTGATTCAAAAATAGAAAATTTGAATGAACCAATTACTAGTAATGAAATTAGTAATCAAAACACTCCCAACAAACAAAAGTCCAGTATCAAATGGCTTCACAGGCAAATTTTAGCAAACATTTAAAAAAGAGTTGATAACTATTCTTTTCAAACTATTCCAAAACATGGAAGAGGGAGGAAAACTTTCAAGATTCTACAATATCAGCACTATCCTAATACTAAAATCACAGAGACACAAAAAAAGAAAACTATAGGCCATTATCTCTGATAAACATTGATGCAAAAATCCTCAAGATATTCGCAAACCAAATTCAACAATATATTAAAAAAATCATTCACCTCAATTCATAAAACAATGTAACACATCACATTTAACAAGGAAAAAACCCCATATGATCATCTCAATAGATGCAGAAAAAGCATCCAACAGAATGCATCCATTCATGATAAAAATTCTCAACAAAGCAGACTTAGAGGGAACACGCATTTTTTTTTTAAAGGCCATATATGAAAACCCTGAATCTAACATACTCAGTGGAGAAAAACTAAAAGCTTTTCCTTTAAGATCAGGAATAAGACAAGGATGTCCATTCACCACTTTTATTCAACATAGTACTAGAAGTCTTAGCTGTACTCACCAGACAAGAAAAAGAAATAAACAGCATTCAGACTGGTAAGGAAGAAGTAAAACTGTCACTATTCACAGATGACATAACAGTATACACAGAAAACCCTAAAGTCTCCATCAAAATAATGATTAGGACTGTTAAATGAGTTCAATAAGATTGCAGGATAAAAAATTAACATATAGAAAGCTGTTGCGTTTCTATACACTAATAATGAAATAGCAGAAAGAGAAATTAAGAAAATAATCCCATTTACAATTGCGTGTAAAAGAATAAAATACCTAGGAATAAATTTAACCAAGGGGGTGGTTAAAACTCTGAAAACTAGAAGACATTTTTGAAAGAAACTGAAGACAACACAAATGGAAAGCCATATCATGCTCATGGACTGAAAGAATATGTTTGAAAAGCCCATACTACCCAAAGCAAACTGCAGATTCAACATAATCCCTATGGAAATAATAACAGTAACTTCCACCCAACTAAAATAATTATTTTTTTATTTTTTTAAATTTTTTTTCAACTAAAATAATTCTAAAATGTGCATGGACCCACAAAAGACAACAAATGACCAAAGCCAATCTTTGAGAAAGAACACAACTAGAGGTATCTCTGTCCCAGGATTTTAAGATCTACTACAAGGTTATAGCAATTAAAACAGTATGGTACTAGGATGCCTGGTGGTTCAGCGATTTAGCATCTGCCTTCAGCTCAGGGTGTGATCTCAGGACCCAGGATCAAGTCCCACATCTAGCTCCTTGCAGGGAGCCTGCTTCTCTCTCTGCCTGTGTCTCTGCCTCTTTCTCTGTGTCTCTCATGAATGAATAAATAAAATCTTAAAAAAAAAAAAACACCTGTATGGTACTGACATGAAAACAGACATATGGATCAATGGAACACAACAGAGAGCCTAAAAATAAACCCACATCTATGTGGTTAATTCATCTACAACAAAAGAGGCAAGAATATACCATGGGGAAAAGACGGTCTTTTCAGTAAATGGTGCTAAGAAAACTGGACAGCTACATACAAAAGAATGAAACTGGACCACTTTCTCATACCATGCTCAACATTTAGCTGAAAATAGATTAAAGACCTAAATGTGAGACCCAAAACCATAAAACTCCTAAAGGAAAACACAGACAGCAATCTCTTGGACACCCTTAGCAACATATTTATAGATATATCTTCTCAGGCAAAGGAAATAAAAGCAAAAATAAGCCACTGGGACTACACCAAAAAAGACAATGTGATAGACTAATAATCATATCAGTAATCACATTAAATGTAAATGGATTAAACACTGAATTATAAAATAAAGATTGCCAGATTTAGAAATGGCCCAACCATATGGTGCTACAAGAGATATTTAATACATAAAGATGCAGATAGTTTAGAAACAAAACAATGGGGAAAAGACATCCTATGCAAACAGCAAGCATACAAAACCTGGTATGGTTTTATTAGTATCTAGGCAAGAGACTTCAAGAAAAAAAGAAAAAGGAACATTTCATTATGATAAATGGGTCCAATCATTTAGAACACAAAACCCTAAAAGTATATACACCTAGTATCAGGTCTAAAGGGACAAATCCTCATAGTTGATACAATGAGAAGACCAAAACAAACAAACAAACAAACAAAATCAGTAAGGCTACAGAAAATCTGAACACTATAAACCAACTCAATCTAACAGACATTCAGACAACAACCACAGAATACACATTCATTTCAAGGTCATATGAAACATTCACCAGAGCAGATCATATGCATAAATAAATTTCAAAAGACCAGAATCCCAAAGAATGTATGCTCTGACCACAGTGCAATGAAATTAGAAACCAGTAAGACATCTAGATGCCAATATATGTATTAAATAACTAATACAACCTATGGCCAAAGAAAAAATCATAGTGGACATTAAAATGTTTTATTTGCCTTTTTTAAAAAGATTTTATTTATTTATTTGACAGAGAGAGCACAAGCAAAGAGAGTGGCAGGGGGAGACGGAGGAGTAGAGGGAGAAGCAGACTCCCCACTGAGCAGGGAGCCAGATGTGGGGCTAGATCCCAGAATCCCGGGATCCCGACCTGAGCAGAAGGCCGACACTTAACCAACTGAGCCACCCAGGCACCACAAAATTAAAATGTTTTCATATTAATGGTAAAAACACATTATCAAAATTTGTAGGTGATCAATCTCTAGGTAAAGCTCTAGAGAAAAAAATGTAGTTTTGAATAAATATGTTAAAAAATTGAACAAGGGGTACCTGGGGGACTCAGTCAAGTGTCCTACTCTTTTAAGATTTTTATTTATTAAAAAAAAGATTTTTATGTATTTATTTGAGAGAGAGGGAGAGAAAATGGACGGGAGGAGGGATAGAGGAAGAGGGAGAAGCAGACTCCCCACTAGCAAGTAGCCCCACGTGGGGCTCAATCCCAGGACCCTCAAATCATGACCTGAGCCCAAGGTACACATTTAACTGGCTGAACCACTGGGTGCCCCAAGTGTCCTACTCTTGATCTCAGGATTGTGAGTTCAAACCCCGAGTTGCTGGGCACAGAGTCTACTTTAAAAACATTTTAAAATAAGGTGCCTGGGTGGTGAAGTCGGATAGGCAGCCAACTCTTGGTTTCAGCTTAGGTGGTGATTTCGGAGTCCTAGGACCAGGTCCTGCTTTTGGCTTTATGCGCTTATTAGCACAAGGTCTGCTTGGGGTTCTCTCCCCCTCTCCCTCTCCCTCTCTCCCTCATGCTCTAAGATAAATAAATAAAAATTTAATAAATTTAAAATAAATAAAAATATTTCATTATCTAAATCAATTTTCCTGAGTTTCGAATAACAAGTAGAAAGATTTCAGATAGCAGGAGACAGATGGGTAGACTTACTCAAATGTTTTTGCTTCCTGAACTAAGAGAGCAGTTCAGGTAACATTTAGGGAAAATTAAAAATCACATAAAATACTTAAATCTGCTTTCAATAATTCCACCCAAACAAAATGCTAAGAAAAACGTCTAGGGAATCCCTGGGTGGCGCAGCGGTTTGGCGCCTGCCTTTGGCCCAGGGCGAGATCCTGGAGACCCGGGATCAAATCCCACATCGGGCTCCCGGTGCATGGAGCCTGCTTCTCCCTCTGCCTGGGTCTCTGCCTCCCTCTCTCTCTCTCTGTGACTATCATAAATAAATAAAAAATTAAAAAAAAATCTTAAAAAAAAAAAAAGAAAGAAAAACGTCCCAAGGGGATCCCTGGGTGGCTCAGCAGTTTGGCGCCTGCCTTTGGCCCAGGGCATGATCCTGGAGTCCCAGGATCGAGTCCCATGTTGGGCTCTTTGCATGGAGCCTGCTTCTATCCCTGCCTATGTCTCTGCCTCTCTCTCTCTCTCTGTGTGCCTCTCATGAATAAATAAAATCTTTTGAAAATAATAAATAAATAAATAAATAAATAAATCAATCAATCAAGACCCAATGTATTAACCAGAGTTCTTCAGAAAAACAGAACAAAATATATGAATATTCTGAATATTCTCATGAATTAATGAATAAAATCTTCAAAATAAAATGTCTCAGTTATTCCCAAATTACTTTACAGAGGGTATAGTTTAGAGTCCATGATTTCATGAGTATCTGCTCCTACTATGAAAAAAACATTTCAAGTGATCCCCAACGTGTAGTTGTGATTAAAACTGTGATAGGGACACCCGGGTGGCTCAGTGCTCAATGGTTGAGCATCTGACTTTGGCTCAGGGTGTGAACGGATATCAGGATGGAGTCCCTTATCAGGTTCCCCGCAGGGAGCCTGCTTCTCCCTCTGCCTGTGTCTCTGCCTCTCTCTCTGTGTCTCTCATGGATAAATAAAATCTTAAAAAAAAAAAAACTTAAAAAATAAAACTATAACAAATAGGGGCACCTGGGTGACTTAGTCGGTGAGGCATCCGCCTTTGGCCCACGTTGTGATCCCAGGGTCGTGGGATGGAGCCCTGAGTTGGGCTCCCTAGGCAGGATCCCTGCTCAGCGGGGAGCCTGCTTCTCCCTCTTCCCCCTGCTCATGCTTTCTCCATCTCGCTATCTTTCTCTCTCTCAAATAAATAAATAAAATCTTTAATTAAAGATCTTAAAAAAATAAAACTATAACAAACGAGAGGGAACTTAACATGCACCCTTAGGTAAGCATCCTTACTATACATATGCATACGAGTAGCTCTTTGTTGTGTACATACTACTGACAAACACTCTTTCCTTAAGCAAACTTTAGCCAGGCTCCCACAGAGGCCTGGCCTTTTGGCCCTTCTAGTCCCGTTTTAGCAAGAATCTTGGCTGACTGAGTCCAGTTTAGGGAAAGTCCGTCACCTCTGATTAGCTGGCCAAATGCTACAGCAACCATGGTATCTGACCAGCCCGGATATCTGATCAAATGCTTTCTCACCCAGGCCTGCCTTTAGAGGTAAAAAAAAAAAAAAAAAAAAAAAAAAAAAAAAAAAAAAAAGCCCAGTCCAGTGGGTTCAGGGTTCTTCCTTCTACCCGTGATGTCAATTTCCATCCACTGCCCCCTCCCGCCCCGCCCGGCCCGGCCCGGCCCCCGGGCTCCCCCGCTAGAATTCTCCACTCCTTGCTGCAGACCGCAGCCCGCAAATCGCTCCCTGCTCCTGCAAAACCGCGTCGCAGCAGCCCCGCCCCCGAAGACACTCCTGCCTTACCGTCTCCGAGGAGCGTCTGAGTAGTTATTTCTCCAGCACTACGTATCAGCTCCATATTAGGCCCTGCTCATGCCATTTCTAGTCCTCACGATGCCCCTGCAAGGCAAGCATCATCGTGGACCCATTAGGAGGCTCCCTGGCTCACTGGGGGCGGCCGCGCCAGAACCCAGGTTGCTCCAAGCGAGGCCTGCGCTCCGGGAAGGCGAGCTGCCAACTTTGGGGGGCTTGGGGGGGCTTGGGGGGGCGGGCCCGTGGGGCTGTCGCACACGCCGAGGCGGGGCGCTCCCGGCACTGTGCGCCCCGGAGGCCGGGGCAGCGCTCCCCACCCGGGCATCCTCCACCCGCGCACCCCGGGGAGAGACGCTCCGCGCATCGGCCCACGGAGGGCCTCCTCCGTCCCAGCGTTTCGCGGAAGGCGGAGGACGCGGCCGGCTTCGGGGCGGGTCCAGGGGCGTGCGTGCCCGGGGAGTCCGGCGGGGTCCACAGGCTCCGGGCCGCGGAGCCGGGTCGAGGGGCTGGAGGGGCCCCGCTGCCCCTCCTCCGCACCCGCCGCGTCCCCGCGTCCCCGGAGACCGCGGGTGGCGCGTCCTCCAGCCCCGCCGCCGCTCCCCGGGGGCCCGGCCGAGCCCCGAGCAAACGCGGGCCCCGCCAAGCTCGACCCCGGGCGGCCGCAGCCAGACCCGCCCAGCCCGGGCGCGCTCACCTCGGCCCGCGGCGCCGGCTCCGGAGGCACTTCCGGGAGGGAGCGAGCTGCGCGCGCCGGCGGCGTCGGCGTCGGGCGGCGGGGCGGGGCCGGCGCTGAGGCGCGGGCTCCGATTGGCCGCCCGCGTCGCCCCGCCCCTCTCGCGTCGCCCCGCCCCCTCGCGTCGCCCCGCCCCTCTCGCGGGCTCCTGGTCTCCGCAGCCGGCCCGCCCTCGGGTCGTTGGTTCCGGCCTGGTGCGCTGGCTCCTCCGCCTGCCCCCGAGCGGTGGGCTAGCGAGGCCCTCCTCTGGGCCAGGCACTGGGCCAGGCGCTGCGACGATCCACCAGGATAATTCCCTGGTCCGTCGCAGACGCTGTGCCGGCCCCACGCCTTTGCGACCCTGCAGGTACGGCAGGTGCTTAGGAAGGGCTCTCGCCGGCTGCCCTTCCTCCCCCCCTTCCCTCCCCCTCCCCTACCTTTGGGCTCCCTGCGGCATTTCATTTCCTCCATCTCTCTCTTTTCTTTTTAAGATTTTATCTATTTATTCGTGAGAAACACAGGCAGAGGGAGAAGCAGGCTCCCTGCGAGACTGATCCCAGGACCCCGGGGTCACGACCTGAGCCACCCAGGCTTCCCCAGTCTCCCGCTGTCCTGCCGCTCTAACTCACACCAACTCTGCGTTTCCTGGGCGCTTTCTTCCCACTTCCCTATGTTGGAATTCAGCGAGGTACTAGCTAACCTGTCTTCCCAACTTTGCCTTCGTCTGTCTCCCTCCTTCTGCCTTCACCAGGCTCTACTTGGACAGGAATGTCATCATCCTCCCTCCCCTCCTGTCATCAGAAGTGTGGAAGTGCTATGATTTTGCCTCATCTCTCAGACACCCCCACCCCCACCCCACCCCCATTCTCCACCTCTGTCTCTTTTTCACATCCATCCTGCACGTGGACACAGCTGTCACTTTGATACTCAGCAGCACTGATACAAGTATCAAATCCAAATCTGGGAGATGGAACTCCTACTGTGTATCATATGTGTGCTCCGTCTTGGGTGATTGGCAAACTGGGGAAGCGCTCAGAAACAAGAGCTGCCCTGGCTCACATCATGTAGAGGAAGTGGAGACACCTCCTCTGAAGAAATAAGGCTTTGGAAGAAGGAGGAGGTGTGAATCATGAGATCTTTACAGATCTGAAATACTAACCAGTGGAAAAGGGATTTAACGTGTTCTTCTAGGTCCCAGGGCCTGAACAAGACCCAGCATGTGAAAACTATTTCAGCTTAACCCAAGTGGAAATTTATCTAAAGTTGACTTGTCAACAATGCTACTTTATGAGTTCCTGAACAGCAGGGTGGCGATTTATCAGGAATATTTTATTTTTTATTTATTTTTTTATGTATTCATGAAAGACACAGAGAGGCAGAGACATAGGCAGAGGGAGAAGCAGGCTCCCTGCAGGGAGCCCAATGTAGGACTCGATCTCAGAATCCCAGGATCACACCCTGAGCCAAAGGCAGATGCGCAACCATGGAGCCTCCAGGTGCCCCTATCAGGAATAATTTAAAGAGATACCCCAGTGGCTCTTTCTTCTGACACAAAGGGCATTACTTTTAGGAAAGTCAAGAGATAAGCTGATTTGGAAAGAGATGATGTGCTCTTATCTTCAACACTGAAGCTTTTAGCTGTTCGGTACCCAAGGAAGATAACAGTAATTCAAATTCAAAACCTTTCCTTGGGCCACAGATAGTTTGTGAATCTGGTGGAAGCTATAAATCCTTGCCCAAGGAAATGCCCATACACATCTATGACATTTTCCACACCAATTCATGGAGTTCCCAGAGCTCTGAAGCCCACCCTCAGAACCCATGAAACTCAGAGTAAAAACTCTAATGCTGATAGATGGCTCCTTGACATTGAAGTGACACTCAGTACTTTAACAATTTCTTTATAAACTGGCAACCTAAGGGGCACCTGGGTGACTTAGTCCATTCAGCGTCTGACTTCAGATCAGGGAATGATCCCAGAATCCTGAGATCAAGTGCAGAATCAGGCTCCTTGCTCTGTGGGGAGTCTGCTTCTCCCTCTCCCTCTGACCCTCCCCCCTACTCATATTCTCTCTCTCTCTAATGAATACATTTAAAAAATCTTTTAAAAAATAAAAATAAACTGTCAACTTGAGGTGAAGCATGAAATTTCCCTTCTTTCTGAACAGACCGAACAACGAAATATATTAAAAGTTGGGAGATATCTACCTCAGTTTAGGAAATTATGGAAAAATATAATCTATTTCCATTAATTTATTCACTCGCTCATTCAGCAAATATTTTTCAGATGCCTCCTGTGCCCAGCACTATTCCAACACCTGGCTATCCAACAGTGAATTAAACAAATAACGTTCCTGCCCTCGGAAGACTTCTGTTTTGTGAAAGAGTTGGACAATTAGATACACAAGTAATAATAAACATGTTGGATAATGGCAAGTGTTGTGGAGAAATTTAAATCAATGGGAGAGGGCATGTACAATGTTAGGAATGGAATGTAATTTAATAGAACAATCAGGGAAGAGTTACCTGATAAGACAACTGATAAAACAACACAGAATCCAGAGCTAAACTGAAGGAGCAAAGCTTGAGGATATCTGGAGGAGCTTTCTAGTCACAGGAAATAGCAAATGCCCAAGTCCTGAGACAATGAGTGAAAATAAGAGAAGAGGTATGAGGAATCCTGGGACACATTAACATATTGGGTCAAGAAGATAAGGAGGACCCATCAAAGAGAGAGAGAGAGATCAAGGAGCACTGAGGAGAAAAACAAAGACAGAGTGATGTCCTGGAGCCCTAGTGTACAAAATGTTCAAAAAAAGAGAGAGAGTCAGTAAATTAACTGAATCAAAAGCTAGTGATAGAAGGTACAATGAAGATTGATAATTGACCCTTGGTTTCAGCAACAAGGGAATCACTGGTGACCTTAACAAGAGTAGCTGAGGGTGGAGAAAGCCTGAATGGAGTGCTTCAATAGAGAAAAACTGGAGCAACAAATAGAGACAAGTCATTCAAAAAGTTTTGCTATAAAGGGAAATATAAAAATGAGACAAATTAGGAGGTATTTACAGCATGTTTATATGCTGAGCGGAATGATTCAGCAGGGAGGACAAACTTGCAATGCATGGGAGAGAAGAGACAGCTACTGAACAGTATCCTTGAGCAGAGGAAAGGTTGATCTTTGAATGATAAAACCCCAGGGTACTCCAATTTAGGCCACGTGAGGCACCCACAGAAAACATTCTTCACTGAAGAGAAGCTTAAAGTCATAAATTATAAGCTTCACCAAAAGCAATCCATCAAGAAGGACTGTCACCAGTTTTTTTTAAATGAGAGAAACTGCACCCCCAAAATTAGAAATCATAGACCAATCAGATTTTTTTAAAAGATTGTATGTATGTATGTATGTATGTATGTATGTATGTATTTAGGAGAGAGAGTACAAGCAGAGGCAGGAGGGGAGAGAGACAGAGAGAGAGAGAGAGAGAGGCAGGCTGACTCTCTGGTGAGCAGGGAGCCAGATGCAGGGCTCAATCTTGGGACTCCAAGATCATAACCTAAGCTGAAAGCAGATGTTTAACTGACTGAGTCACCCAGGCAGCCAATGATTTTTAAATTATTTTTAAGTAATCTCTACACCCAACGTGGGGCTCGAACTTAGAAGAGTCGCACGCTCCACTGACTGAGCAGGCCAGTCACCTCAATTTGAAAGAAATTTTATTTATTTATTTATTTATTTATTTATTTATTTATTTATTTTAAAGAGGGTTTTCTTTTTTTTAAGATTTTATTTATTTATTCATAGAAACAGAGAGAGAGAGAGAGAGAGAGAGGCAGAGACACAGGCGGAGGGAGAAGCAGGCATCATACAGAGAGCCTGACGAGGGACTCTATCTGGGGTCTCCAGGATCACACCCTGGGCTGCAGGCGGTGCTAAACTGCTATAAAACCTCTCAGCCTTTTGCCCTGGGCAGGTTTGTCATCGTGGAGGTGTTATTTAGCTGCAGCTTCCTGTGCCTGGCAAAGTAATAAATTATCTTCCTTCTTTACACCCAAACTCTGTCTTCACTTTACATATTTTGGCTCCGGAGCACAGAGGTTGGTTTTCAACAACACTCCCACTGTAGAAATAAGAAAACTGTGATCTGGAGGGGTCCGTGCCTAACTCAAAGCCACAAAGTCATTTAGTTACTGATCTTACATTTAAACATTTTTCTGACTCCAAATTTCACCCCCTTGCCTCTCTCTGCTGCACGATGCCCCAGGTTGGAGCCTGGCAACCAGGACACACTGCTCAAAGAGATGGTGTAAGGTTTGGGAGTCTTATGGGAGATCACTTATGAGAAAAATTTGCAATTAATGTAATGGTGAAGTTAAATGGCATGAGATTGTAGTGGGTCAGATCAGTTGTTATCTCATTAACAATTCACTGAAACCTAGAAACAGGGATTTGAAAAGGGATGTTGACTTCAACAACAGAAGATTCATTGACTTGAGTTTAAGGAAGTAGAGGGCACCAGTGGAGGCTTCATGGAAATGCTGACCATTTGCACTGAGCAAGGAAGGGAGGCTGGAACGGAAACCAGTCTTAGTACTCTCCCTGTGACATCAAGATGTGGTCTGTAACCTACTGACTTCATTGGAGCAAACAGTGATTTAACTCATGGCAAACGGAAGCCACATTGTCTTCTAGGGGCTATTTAGAGAGTATTTAAGAAAATGCTAACTGCTTTTTTTTTTTCCTGGTGAGAAATCCTAACATATCACTTTTGTTATAGGGGGTGTCCTGAAAGAGGTCTTTAAGATGTTCAGAAAGCTTCAGGTGGGGCTAAAGAGGACTTCCTGTGTGCCTACAGGTGACATGAGGGACCACAGACCTGATTGGAGAAATTTGAGTCCTTCTAAAAAAAATCTGTGGATGAATCCTAATGCTTCTCTAATCAAACCACATTCCTGAGGAC